CCGCCGTGCCGGACATGGTCGAGTTGGCGGCCACGGCGGGCTTCAGCTTCTCCATCGTCGGCGTCCCGCCGCCGTCAAAGAGCCGGTCCAGGCCGATGGTGCTCTGCGCTGCGTCGAAGTAGAGCTCGCAGGTGACCAGCGGCGCGGCAAAGGAGACGCGACCGCCGCCACTGCCTCCGCTACGACGACGGCCATCTGAGGACCTACCGTTCGGAATGGGCGTCCGGCCCAGTCCGCCTGGCGGCCGCAGAATGGACTTGGTGGCGCTGACTGGAGTGGTGGGAGTGGTGCTGGTGCTGGCGGTGGTGTTGGCAGTCGAAGTGGAAGGGGTGGAAGGAGTTGAAGGAGCTGTTGTTGTTGGTGGCTTTTTGATGTGGTCAATGGCGCGCAGGGCACGCAGCGCCATCGAGCCACGCGAGAGGCCGCGTGGCACGTACGTGCTGGAGCGCTTCGGCGAGGAGGTGGTGGAGGAGTTCTGGTGGAGGAGATAGAAATTGTAATTAGGAAGACCAACCACAAGAAGGTGGTACTACTTACCATGAGCCCTGAGTAGTTAAACGAGGATGAGGACGGATCTCCGGTGCTGAGCGATCGCTTCAGCGTGTTCCCTCCAAATGCTGTTGTTGGGGATGCTGCTGCTGCCAGAGCTGCAGAGCCTGATGAGCTGCAAAGCTGCATTTGTGCGTCGCCGCCGTTGCTGCTTCTGCTCGTGGCGTTGGTTGCAGAAGCAGCCGCAGTCGCAGTCGATGATGCAATGATGGAGTGTTGTGCTGCTGCTGCAGGAGAGCTGCCGCTCATCGCAGCGATAGCCACATCGCCGAATGATAAGGGCGAGGAGGAGGAGGAGGCTGAGGAAAAGGTAATGGGCAGGGGATTCATCCGAGGGCGACCTCTGCTCTTCACGGCCGTCACTTGTGCTGATTGCGATTGTGAGTGCTGCTGCTGCTGTGATCCCAGGAGCGGATTCTCCTGATTAGAGCCCTCCGAGTCGGAGCTGCCCGAGTTGCCTGGCAGCTCAAAGGCCAGACTGCGGCCGACTGCCTTCAGCATCGCCAGCGCTCGGGGGCTGCCACGAGAAAGCAGGAAAGGGTTGATCGGCGGAGTAGAAGAGTTGAAGGAGGAGGAGGAGGAGGAAGGGTTTAGTCGATGAAGTGAGCTCGAATTCGAGGTCTGCTGCTGCTGCTGTTGCTGTTGGCGTGGCGGAGGACTGTCGTTGCCGTTTTCAGTGCGACTTGAAATGTCGTCGTTGCTGTTGCTGTTGCCGTTGTTGTTGTTGTGGTTGTGGTTGCTCGCGTTTGCGCTGGTGGCAGCGGCATAAGGCGATACCGCCTGCAGATCATCAGAGGACATCGAGTGGTAGCTGATCTCACTGCTGCTGCTGCTAGCGGTATCAACGCAGCCGCCGCCGCCGCCAGAACTCTCCTGAACTTCAGCGCCGACCGATCTGGCCTGTTCCAGCGACTCCTCCAGGGTGATGTCATCATCATCGTTATTATCATCGTCCTCTTCCTCTTCTTCATCGTCACCGTCTTCACTATCTTCACTAACACTTTCATCACTGTCATCACTGTTCTCCTCCTTGAGGAAGAGGGTTCGCCCCGGGTTAGCGGTATTACGTACGGCGGCGAGAGGGCCATTTCTAGGGGAATTGTGACTGCTGTTGCTATTTCCATTGCGACGCGTCAGCATTCGACTGGGAGTGGGAGGAAATCGACTGGAGTGTGTTAGAGAGATAGATGGGCAAATGGAACCAAAAACGAAAGGAAGAAAGGAAGAGAAAAGAGAGAAATAGAAATAGAAACAGAAGTAGAAAGTGGGAATCCGAGAACTACGAACCTCTTGTTGAGAATGGGACTCTCGATGAGGTCCTGGATCTTCGAGTTGGGCGACGACTTGTAGCTGGCAACTGCTGCAGCAGCAGCAGCAGGCTGCTCAGAGGTCGACGACGCCGAAGACTTCGACGATTTCTTCTTCTTCGTCCGTCCTCCATTCTCCTCCTCCTCCTCCTCCGCCACCACGGGAATGGTGAACTCGTCGTCCGAGAGGAGGATCATATCCTCGGGGTTCATCATCATCTTCGCGCCGAGGTTGCGCTGGGGCTGCTGCTGGTTTGGGGGATGGGATGGGTGGGCAAACCCTGGCAAGTGCCCTGGTAAGTGCAGGGAAAAGCCGAAACCGAGAAGCTGTTGTTGAGAAGCCAAGTTCTTGTTCTTGAAGAGAGGGAGAAAGAGAAAGAAAGAGAGTAATAGAAAGAGAGTAAACGCGGCAGCGGCTACGACGACGGCAGGGAAATAAAGAAAGAGCGAGAGCGAGACGCGCGCGGGACAAAAACAGACAGCGCGAACTTCGTCGCGCCGCCAAAACAGAAGCACGAAAGTTGGGGCCAGTTTTGAGCGCCGTTGCAGCCCTCACAAGCAGAAACAGTTCTGCCTGCAAATGAGCCCAAAATGAGCCCCGTCTTCGCTCGCCGCGTTCGTCATCTGCGGGCGAGCCCAGCACTGCCGTGGTCGGCCTCTGCCCGCCGTGCTGCTACCCACCGAGCCAATGCGAGGTAGTGGCAGCCTGGCTGCTGCTGCTGCTGCTGCTCCTACAACGGACCGACTTTTGGCGCTCATCGGCGGCGGCGGGAACACTTCATCGATGAAGCAATCTTTCTTCTTCTTCTTCAGCAGCAGCTTTAGCTAATTCTTCTGCAGCGTGGGCGTCCAACTGGAAGTCCTCTCTTTCTCTTTGTCCAACTTTGTACTCCGACTCCTCCGCAGTGCTGTACTACCCACTTGACACTGAAAAACAGTGGTGGAAGTAGTAGTGTTCACTGAGGAGAGTCATGGTCACTGCGTGACGTGTTTACCCGACCAGTGCAGCAGCAGCCATTCGGGACAGCCGCTTCTCTAGGAGCAGCCCAGCAGCAGCTCCATTGTGACTCTTGACATTACACACACACACACACACACATTTGTCGCGCGCGGGATACTCACGCCAGAGTACTGGCAGAGAGTACCCGTAGCAGCAGAAGCAGTCGACGTCATTACCAAAACAGAAGAGAGAAAGAAAGAACTAGACTTGGCTTACTGATTAAATGGCAAATGGCAAACACACACTGGCGATGGCGATGGCAACCAAGAGCAGCAGACGGACGGACTGAGAGAGAGCGGTCGGTTTCCAAGAAGACATACAAACCAAAGAGGGAGAGAATGAGACATCGATTGAATAGACTCTGAAACTGAATAGACGACGAATCACTGAATTAAAAATGAAGGCAATGAATGGCGCAGAACCAGGGGAACAATGGAGAGGAAATGCATCGCTTTTATACACAGAAGAAAGAAGAAAGAAGAGGAAGAGGAGGAGGAGGAGTGTATGGACAGATAAATAGATAAAGTAGAAAGTAGAAATACTCGGCCTATGGTAATGGTGATGATCGGGTAGGCTAGGCTAGGCACTAGGCTAGCACTCTGACTCGTCATCCCAGGCGTCACTGTCACTACCGCCGCCCTCGGCGCCCTCGCCCTCGCTGTCGCTCAGCTCCATGGCGACGCGGCGCGCCAGGATGGAGGCGACGTCGTGCAGCGGCACCGCCCCCTTGCCCTCGCGCTCCTCCCGCGCCTTGGTCGCCTCGTCGCACTTGCGCAGCTTAATGCCGTCCCTGATGGCCGCCATCAGATTCGAGTGCGGGTCCTTCGGGGCAGAGGAAGGCGCGTAAGAAGAGGAGGTAGTGCCGCCATTTGAGGTGCGGTCGCCCGTCGGCTTCAGCTTCACCGACTGCAGCATGGCAGCGGTCCAGGGCTGGCCACCGCCGCCGCCCCCGCCCCCTCCGTTGGGAGTTGTCGTTGAGGAGGAGGTGGTTTTGGAAGGTGGTGGTGCACCGTTTGCCAGACTTCCAGTAGCTTGGCCGGGAGGTGGTGGAGGTGGCGGCGGAGAGCAGACGTCTAAGGGGAAAGGAGAAGGAGTTTAGTTGGGGAGTTTTTAAAGAAAAGTGGTAATTTACCTGATGGAGGTGGCGGCGGCGGCGGTGGAGGAGGTGGCGGAGGAGGTGGCGGCAGATCACTCACCGAATCCTGGTGATTCAGGCTCTGCTGGTGATTCGCCTGAGGATGATGTTGGTGCTGGTGATGCTGAGGTGGTGGCGGCGGCGGTGGCAGCGAATCTCTGGACACCAGCGGCGAGTGCATGTCCCCACCTCCACCGTTGATGGCCTTTTTGGGCGTCGATGGCGCCGAGTTGGGCGCCGAGGCAGGCGGGGCAGGCGGCGGCGCCGACGGCCTCGAAGCAGGACCTCCGCCGCCGCCGCCCGCCGCGTTCGCCCTTCTCGTGGGCGTGTTCGCCGCCGAGCCTGCGGGCGAGTACTGCTGCGTCGGCCCATAGGGTCCCTGGAGAATGGATTAAAAACGGTCAATGAATCTCATTCGAATAAATTCAACGACTGTGATTACCTGAGCACTCCGCTGGTACTGCTGCTGCTGCTGCTGCTGATACTGCTGCTGTTGTTGTTGCTGCTGCTGCTGCTGTTCCATGGGAGGCGGTGGCGGAGGCGGTGGCTGCTGCTGCTGCTGTCCATACGTTCCGTACTGAGACAGCTCCAGCGAGTTGGGCCTGTTTCCAAACTGCTGATGAAGTTGTTGTTGTTGTTGTTGTTGTTGCTGATGAGGGGCAGCCCCTCCTCCCTGGTACTGAACGTAGTGGTGTTGGTAGTTATTGGGGTCGACGCTGTAGCCCTCGATGACGGTGTAGGAGCCGGTCCCGGAAGGATTCGGCTCCTCCCTCTTCACCGAGACCACCTGCTGATCGGCACCTGCAGCTGTCTGACCAGCATATCCGTACACTGATTGAGCTTGAGGTGGTGGCGGTGGTGGTCCTGGTTGCTGCTGCTGTGTTTGCCCGTAAATCTTCTGCTGCTGCTGTGCATTGTACNCTCGTGGGCGTGTTCGCCGCCGAGCCTGCGGGCGAGTACTGCTGCGTCGGTCCATAGGGTCCCTGGAGAATGGATTAAAACGGTCAATGATTTTCATTCTGCTTAGTTTAACTTTCAAATTACCTGAGCACTCCGCTGGTACTGCTGCTGCTGCTGCTGATACTGTTGTTGTTGTTGTTGTTGTTGTTGTTGTTGCTGCTGTTCCATGGGAGGCGGTGGCGGAGGCGGTGGTTGCTGCTGCTGCTGCTGTCCATAACTTCCGTACTGAGACAACTCCAGCGAGTTGGGCCTGTTTCCAAACTGCTGGTGAAGTTGTTGTTGCTGCTGTTGATGTGGGGCAGCCCCTCCTCCTCCCTGGTACTGAACGTAGTGGTGTTGGTAGTTGTTCGGGTCGACGCTGTAGCCCTCGATGACGGTGTAGGAGCCGGTGCCCGAGGGATTCGGCTCCTCCCTCTTCACCGAGACCACCTGCTGATCGGCTGAAGGTGCTTGACCACCACCGGCGTATCCGTACACTGATTGAGCTTGAGGTGGTGGTGGCGGTGGTGGTTGCTGTGTCTGCCCGTAAATCTTCTGCTGCTGCTGCTGTGCATTGTAGAGCGCCTGCTGCTGCTGAGGATTCAGTGGAACGCCATTTTCACCGTACATCGGCGGCTGGCCGGTTGTCATGGACTGCTGCGAGGAAATGGAGCCACGACTGTATATCTGCTGCTGCTGCTGCTGCTGTACATGGTAGTGCTGCTGATTGTTGTTGTTATGGTTGTGCGCCGGACTGGCCGAGTCCGAGGTGATGGACGTCTGGTGGCGAAGAAGAGAGGACTGGGCCTTGTTCCGCTTCGACTTGGAGGAGTTGTGGGCCGCTTCGCCTGAAGAGAGGGGGATGAAAACGAATGTTAGAAGGGTTTTAAAGGAAAAAAGTGTGCTCCAACTAAAAACAAACGACAAAAAAACTAACAATTCGCCGACAGGAAAAAGAAACATGCACAGAACTCTAAAGAAGAAGATAGACACAAGAAGGAGATGATGACCAAAACCAAAGAGGATAGAGAGAAAGAGAGTTTGAGTAAACAAAAGAAGAAAACGAAAACAGAGGAAAAGAACGTAAACAAACATAGAAAGTAAAGGAAAGAATGAGAGAAAGGTTAGAACGGAATCAATCAATCAAACTGAAAAAACGCACAAGCGTAAACAATGAAAGCAAAGGTCACGGAATCGAGGAGGAATAGGCTAAACTCAAACAGTAAACACTAAAAGGAGCAAAGAAAGCAAAGTTAGAGGACACTGACCCTTCTTGGCGACCTTGTTCCGACTTCGGTCGGCCAGCATCTCCTTCCGCCACAGCTCGAAGAAGTAGTTGGGATTGGTGTACAGTTTGAGGCCGTTCATGTTGTCATCCCTGAAGGGATTCAGCTTGTCCAGCGGCGGCGGCTCGTCGCAGGACTCGTAGACCTCTCGTAATGAGAGTGGAATGGTGGTCCTCGCCACCACCTGCTGGTCAAAGTTGTCCGCCCGCGAGCGGTACGGCTTCTTCGAGAGCATCGAGGCGTTGTTGGCCAGCGTCGCCGAGTCGTTGCTCGCGTCCAGGCGCTCCACCCGCTCGGAGAGTACGTCCAGGCGCCCTTTCAGGGCGACCGACCGGCCCACCAGGGCCGCGGTGTCGTCGAGGATGGAGCCGAAGAGGTCCTCGGCGTAGCGGGAGAGGCTGCTCAGCTGGCGGATGATGTTCGCCAGGGTGCCGTTGGTCACTGCCTCCAGCTCGTTGGGGATGTTTAGGGCTGAGGAAGGAGGAGATGAGATGAGATGAGATGAGTGATTAGTGTTTCGAATTTCGAAAAAGAAGGTTTGAGGGAGTGTTATTACCTGACTGAGGAATCTGTCCATTGGCGGCATGGCCGCCGGCGTTTCCANGAGAGGCTGCTCAGCTGGCGGATGATGTTCGCCAGGGTGCCGTTGGTCACTGCCTCCAGCTCGTTGGGGATGTTTAGGGCTGAGGAAGGAGGAGATGAGATGAGATGAGATGAGTGATTAGTGTTTCGAATTTCGAAAAAGAAGGTTTGAGGGAGTGTTATTACCTGACTGAGGAATCTGTCCATTGGAGTGTGGGCCACCGCTGGCACCGCCTCCTCCGTCCAAGGAGAAGCAGCCCCTGCTGACGTAGATGGGCGCGATGACGCGCTGCTCCAGAGGCATTTTGGTTGTGGCTGTGTGTGTTGTGGTTGTGTTTGTGTTTGTTGATGGTGATCTTCTTGTTTGCTAAATGTGTGTCTGTGTGTGAGAGTAAAAGCTAAATTGAAAGCAGTCGTATGTTGATGGTTGGCACGTAGGAGGTGATAGATAGAGTTGATAGAGAGAGAGAGAGAGAGTACAGGTGTTGCTGTGGTGATGAGAGAATTCAAGGATAACTGCTCTTTACTGAACGAGTGAGTGAGCTGAATGTGTGCTGTGCTGCTTTTCAGGAACACTTTCTCATCCTCATCATCTGTTGGTGGAGAAGATAAACAAAGCGAAAGAAGAAGAGTGTGAGAAATTAGAGTCAGTCAAGAGAGGCTACTGCTGATGCTGCTGCCGTACACTCTGCTGCCGTACATCAGCAGCTCAGCTCAGGGCGCGCCTGACAACCAAATCGCCACGGGGAGGGAAATTGAGAGGAAAGGAGGAGAGGAAAAGAGGAGATGGAAAAAAGCAAATGAGTGTGAGTGCAGAGGAAGGGAAGGGNGCCGCCGCCGCCGCCGCCTTTGACAGGACGTGATTTAACTGGCGAGGAGAAGAAGATAGCAGAGAAGAAGAAGAACAAACAGCACGAACTTGGGAAGGAAGATGATGATGGTGATGATGATATAACGGTACCAAGCACCTACACTAGCAAAGTGTTGACAGTGCTGCTGCTGCTGCTGTCGTACAAGCGAAGTGCTGTTGGTGGTGGTGATTGCCGCTGTCCTCCTTGTACAGTAAGTGCAGATGGTGATAGTGATGAGAGTGCTGCTGCTGGTGGTGGCGGCGGTGGTGGAAGTGAAACATTGCCGACTTGATGTGTTGACGATGATGAGGCAGCAGCAGCTGATGGTGATGATGAATAAGAGACCAAGAAGAAGAAGAAGAAGGAGAAATCAGCGAGTAGAGGAAGATTGCAGCATTCGCCAGCCCTGGACGGCGACAACTTCAACACACACACACAAAACAGAC